GGGGGGGGGGGGTCAGGAAATATCAACTATTATGCCCTTTCTGGAATGCCTTGGAAGCCCTGCTTTAAAGTCCTCCACAGATATCCTGGAGGTGGAGGGACAGACCAGGCTGACAGAGGCAGCCCAAGCAGGCTGGGAAGTGACCACAGCATTGCCATGTCTTCACCCTTGAAATTCCAGCAATGCTCGCCCTCGGTTCTTTGCTTACACATTCTTTCATGTGTGTCCTTTCTAGTGCATCCCAAATCTGGTCTTCAGTGTACTGGCTGAAGGGATCCAAATTTGACCTAGGAAGAAACACAAGAGGAATTCCTCAGTGATCCACCATGGAAGAGACCACACTGTCTGGGATAAAAGTTTAAACACACACGGGAAAAGGGCTTAAACCTCTTAAGGTCACAGATGGCTCATTCCCTAACCAGCCAGAGGTGGAAGCTGAGATGCCTGTAGTAGTAAGTTAGTCTAACTACTCTACATTCCAGCTCCTCATGCATAAGACAGGGAGAATAGAGCACCTCCTCAAAAGGCTGTGTGAGGCCTGCATTCACGTGGGTAAAGCACTTGCAGGAACACCTGGCTTTACTCCTGGGCTATGATTCCTTCTTGTGCTTCAGGTCTCAGCTTAGATGCTACCTTTAGGAAGTGTCTCCTTAGCCTCCACCTGGATAAGGTGTCCCTATGCTCACCCTTATGGCCCTCATCACCCTGGACCTTTGTTTCTCTGCCCACCGCATCCTCTGCCCAGGATCCCTGTCTGGATCTTGTTCATTGTTGCCTCCCATGTACACCACCTACTACTCTTTGTATAAATAAAAGAACTTATTCCTCCTACTGTTATTTGACTCCTAGTAAGAGGTATTAGTATGTTGCAACTTTTAAGTATTTCAGTAATAACAGTCAAAGAGCAGTGCGTGGAGGGAGAGTATGCACACACAAAGGATCCGAAAAACTGGGTTCAAATCCCTGCTCTGCCTACCATTGCCTTTTCTTTAAAACAAGTCCTGACCAGTTCCACAGGGACTAAGACTGTCAAAAAAAAAAAAAAAAA